TACGATCATAGAGATGTCAAAAAATTGCTTCTTGCGTCTTCCCTTGTCGGGAAATAACCAATGTTCTCAGGATCACTTTTTAAGATTTTTTATCCTTTTTAATTTCCCATTAGAAAGTCAGCTAACTTAGCGGTAAGTTAGTAACAAATTTTGTCAGGATCACTTTTTTTGACACATTTAACACATGGTAACAAATGTATAAATAGAATTGATATTGCTGGATTTGGTTGATTCTGTGTCCATTTTATAAAACGTCTGCTATGTTTGTGGAAATCTGTTGATCGGTTCCAGTGGTACTGGAATGATAAGTTCAGGTGTAACGTGTCACTGGACGTGACATAAGTTCAAGGGTAACGTGGCACCAGTGAAACCTGTCATTACTGCTTCGCAGTTCTAGTTACTATTTTAATTATATTTATGTGGCAAGCTAGTCGCTGTAATGTTAAGTTTCTATATTCTTCAAAAGAAAGGAAAATATGTGATGTCTTCACAAATTATTATTAATATGTCAACAATTATCTTCCGTAGTTTAATAACTGTAATTTATATGCATGTATGCGTACTACGTAAGAACATGTGCATGTTTCTGGTGATGAGCGTTCTTACTTGCTGCAACCATGTTGTAGAGATGCCATGCTTTTCATAATAAAGCTACTATGTATTACAAGATTTATCGTCGTATCAAACCCACCTAAATATCGCACCCAGTCACAATAGCCTAGGTGTCATGCACGAAGCAGCTGGGTAATGTCCAGTGGGTTCACCTGGCTAATAGCTAAATTCACTTTGACATGGTGATATTTTGTCATAATCCAAGTATATACGAATTGTTGTAGGTTTTGTTAAGTAGTTAAGCCTGGGGTTATATATACTCTTCAAAAAAAGTAGAGGATATTCAGAAACAATACAAAACTGTGGAAATGCACTGCTGTTTTTATACGCCCACATTGAATTTAGTTCTTCATCCCTGAAGAAGTTAGTATTTTTACTGACGAAACGTTGGATAAAACGATTGTTTTTTGATATTGTATTCTATTAATTATTTTATATCAACTTATCTGAATGTCAAATGCATCATTTTGACTTAGTCAAAATTGATCCCATCAAACCGTCTGTATTTGGTTTCTGTTTCCTGTTTCTACTGATTGGAAGTTTCACATTGAAATGTGGACGTATATTGTCGTCGCCCCTGTCCGTCCTTCCGTCCACAATTGTTTGTGAACAGTCTACAGGTCAAAATTTTTATCCAATTTCAACGAAACTTGAAATATAGGTTTATCACCCTAAGATCTCGGTTCCTTTCGATATTGGTATGTATCGGACTGTAACTTCATGGATTATGGCCCCTGATTGTACGAAAAATCACGTTTTTAACTTGTGAACACTGTAGAGGTCACAATTTTTATCCGATTTGGTTTAAACTTTAAATGTATGCTTATAACCCACAGATCTCGGTTCCTTTCGATATTCGCGCATATTGGAACGTAACTTCCTGAATTATGGCCCCTGATTGTACGAAAAATCGCGTTTTTAGCTTGTGAACCCTATAGAGGTCATAATTTTTATCCAATTTAAAAAAAAACTATTATTATATCACCGTTACACCCCAAGGACGACTGAGTTCGAATTTCGTGAAAATCGGACCCAAACTAACAGACAAAATGGCCACCCTTCGTTCTCAAATAGCGTAAAAATATGGTATATCAAGGTTGTGGACCCTATAGAGATCACAATTTTTATCCGATTTTGTTGAAACTTGAAATGTAAGTTTATAACCCAAAGATCTTGGTTCCTTTCGATAATCGCGCATATCGGACCGTAACTTCCTGAATTATGGTCCCTGATTGTACAAAAAATCGCGTTTTTAGAGGTCATAATGTTTATCCGATTTTAAAAAACGTATTTTTATATCACCGTTACACTGTAAGGACCGATGAGATCATATTTCGTGAAAATCGGCCCAAAACTGACATACAAAATGAACGCCCCTCGTTCTCAAATAGCGTAAAAATATGGTATATCAAGGTTGTAGACCCTATAGAGGTCACAATTTTCATCCAATTTTTGTTGAAACTTGAAATGTAAGTTTATAACCCAAAGATCTCGGTTCCTTTCGATATTTGCGCATATCGAATTGTAATTTCCTGAATTATGGCCCTTGATTGTAGGAAAAATCACTTTCTTTTTAGCTTGTTCTCTATCCATCTCTTGAAAATGTGGGCGTATCCTGCCTGGCAGCAGCTGGTTTGATTTTTGTCTTAATAATGAGTAATTCTTCCACCAATCCTCAGGCATTCAGCAATTCGTCGTGGCATACTTCTAATGAACCGTCCAATCACAATTTGGGGCAATCTGACCCACTCATCTTGCAGTCCTGCTGCCAATTCTTGCAGTGTTGTCAGTTGACGTCGACAAACACATCTCCCAATCATGTCCTAGACATGCTCTATAGGGGATAGGTCAGGACTCATGACTGGCAAAGGCATTTGGACAATATGGTGACGCTGGAGGTAGCCATTCACGACACGAGTGTGGTGGGCACGGGCATTATCATCTTTAAATATGAAACGTCGACCTGCACGCAGAACTATGGGTGCCAGGATGTGGTCACGGTAGTACACACCAGTGACCCTTCCTTGAACAATATGCTAGTCCGTGATTCCTCCTCACACCATAACAGACCCACGCCCGAATCTGTCATGCTGTCAGATGTTAACGTTAGCATGACGCTCATGTACACGCCTACAAACGCGAGCACGCCTATCGGTGAAATCCAGAGTAAATCTGGACTCATCTGAGAGGATTACACTCGCACATCGACGATTACCCCAATTTCTACGCTACCTACACCATTGACGCCTGTTTGCCATGTGCTGGCGAGTTAATGGAGGCACAACACGCGGTCGTTGCACATGGAAATGGGCTGCATGTAACCGATTTCTAATCGTTTGAGATGTAACTCGAATTCCTGTAACTTGGTACAGAAAGGTAATTGGCCGTTTGTCCTCGATTTCGAAGGACATGTGTACGAATGTATCAATCCTGGGCTTGTGTAGTGGCACTAGGACGACATTGTGTGTTTGTTGGTACCGTTACCACAGTCTGCTGATCACGGACTGTGACAGATTAAGCATGTTGGCTACTGCTCGCTGTGTAGAACCCATTTGAAGCATGCCAATAGCACATAGACATTCATCAAGTTAAATACGTCTCACTGCAAATTAAACGTAACACACTAAAGCAAAGATACGCTAAACAGTAAATATTATGCAAGAACCGATAGGAAAGCAAACATGGATAGGATAAACCAGCACACGGCAGTTTTCATCAACCCTTCCTTGAAGTGTCAAATTTGACAATGAACCCCTCCCATGTGTATGGCACTTGCGTGTCAGACGTGCAGTTCAGTGATTCTGTTGGGGCGATAAGTTCTTCAACTGTGAACATACTCTCAAAGCATGACTATTTATCATATCACAACCTGTATAGGTATTAGCATTTCAATATCCCCTACTTTTTTTTGAAGAGTATATATACATGTATATATACATGTACATAGGCTGCTGCTTATGAGAATTTTTTTGGATAGATTATTGTTCCCCACCTTTTGAAGAAAGCAGGGGACTATTAAAATGTGTCGTTTCGTCCGTCTGTCTGTCCGACCTTCACACTTTTTGGGACACAATAACTCCCTTCTCTAATTGAGGTAGAATGTTCAAATTGTGTGTAGGTGTTTATTAGGTGAATACCTTGATGGAGTTTGAAGATGGTGCATAGTTTCATTACATCAATACCTTGACTAAGTTCAATAATAATCATGTTCTGCTTAGGGTAAGCAGAGTGATAAATTGTTTGATTGGTCGGGACTTTGGAGCTTGATAACTTTGATTCTAATTGTGTGAGCGTGGTGAAACGTGGTGTATAGTTTCATTACACCAATACCTTGACTAAGTTCGATGATGAGCATTTTCTGCTTAGGCTAGGTAGAGACTTCAGTCTGATTGGTCGAGACTTTGGAACACATAACTCTCCTAATTGAGCTAGAATGTTCAAACTTGGTGTAGGTGTCTATTAGGTCAATGTCTGGACAGTGTTCAGTCATGCATTTTAAAAGCAATTTGATTGGTTGAGACTTTGGAACAGGATAACTTTGGTTCTAATAGGGTGATAATGATGAAACTCTGAGTTAGATTCGTTATATCAATACCCTTGACTAAGTTCGATGATGAGAATTTTCTGCTTAGGCTAAGTAGCAATAAGAAATTTGATTGGTCAAGACTTTGGAACATAACAACTCTGCTTTTAATTTAGGTACATGTAAATTGTTTAAACTTGGTCGATGCTTTAGTACAAGATAACTTTGATTCTAACTTATGGATAGTGTAGAGTTTCACTACCAGGTACTTCAAAAACCTGACTGAGTTCGATCATGAACATTTTCTACATAGACAAGTTTGCTCGATACTTTTCGAAAAGATAAATGTGCATTTAATTAATATATGTCATCTATTTATTTTGGGATTGCGGTGGGGGGACATCAGCCTCACTTTTGGCTTGTTGTTAATAGACATGTGTTCTCTATCTTTACCCACTGGATGGACTAGGCTACATGTGCATTCTCTTACCCAGCACTTCTTCGTATATGCTGGTAGTTAATAGAGTGATGACCTTCTGTTGGTGTAGTTATTACTTTACACTTAAAGTAATTATCATCTATATGATATATATTCTACTATAACCTATAGTGACTGATATACTTTATACTATATTCTATATACACTCATTGTTATATATACATTGTTACAGGTTAAATTATGTCATATGTATATTACTATTTTAGAGTCTTAAATATAGACACTCTAGAACCAAGAAAAGTTATTTTTATTCACAACTGAATTAAAGCTAAATCTATGTAATGTCAGAAAGCAGAGAGAGAAATTAGAATTTCATCATAGTCACTTCTGTGGGTATGATAAAATTTAGTTTGTGATATATTGTAGGAGTGTTGTAGAGGAAATATATAGCAACCTTATAGAGAGTAGGAGTATGGAAAAAAGTTATTTATAAGTTGTACTGCAGCTCTATGATTCACACCAATTCTCAAGTTCAACAGCCACATTTTCAGAGAGTCTATTTATACCACAGGGAGAAAAGTTTACAACATCGTATTTAGATTGTTACATGTTTTGGAATTATTAAAACTATGCAATTCGTGTCCATGGAAATGTGCTTATTTCTGTTATTTGGGTTTTCTCATTCTGGAAAAATTCTTAATTATGGTGGAACATTCAAGGATATTGTGTTCTAAGGTGGATGTGTGTATAGTGAATTTAGGTATGAATGCGTTCAATGTTATACTTCAATTAAGCCCCGAGTTGAGCTATGAAAATATAATAGTAATTATACTTAAGTTAAACCCTAAATTTAGGTATGCATGTGTTCAATATCGTATTTCAGGAACTGAATGAATTATTTACTCAATTGATGTCGACTAATTTGATTGGTTAGTAAAAATTAGTAAGATATTATTTCTAATGATGTTCTTTATTAAATAAATGTTTGATATAACCTAAACAAAATTGTAAAATATGACTCAGATTCTACAGAGACTTGATTTCACTGGATAATACAGCCTATGAGGAAATGGATTATGAAATAAATGCATTTTTTTGACGCTCCAGTGATTATTTATGAAACCAAAGTTTTATATGATCAAAAAAAATGTACAGTGTTTCCGCTAGCCTCAAAATTTACCGGTACACTGTACCGGTAGAAGTTAAAAATACCAGTCCACTTGTAATTTTACCAGTCTCATGAAAACAGAATTTTACCGCTTATCAATCTTGTTAATGTATTCAAATAAATAAATACTTCATTGAAACATATAGTGAAAATAAGTCAGATGGATCTCGTCATGGATTGTATTGTGAATCTCGAGAATCGCACGTCTTTGACACTCCATATGAATTCCAGGTAGATATTAAAATAATAATTGGATCATACATTTAATGGTTTCACAGACCAGTTGTTAGTTAAATTTAAATCTTCATTGAATATAATCCACTGATAGAACGCCGAATACTCTGAGAATCGGTCAAAAATATATTTTTCCGACAGAATCTCCAATGCTGAATACCGATGACACGTGACATTGTTGGAATTAGGTCAGTAAATCAGCGATGTTAGCTTTAGTTTTAAATACTGTTTAACGTTATGATTTTTTATACGCCCCAGTTCGTCTGGACGTCCGTCTGTCCACAATTGTTTGTGGACACTCTATGAGTCACAATTTTTATCTGATTTCAATGAAAGCCTATTGAGCTTACTAAAATTATTATTATTAGGCTTTCAGACTTTGGAACGGTAGCAATAAATCAAAAAGCGGCCGTGGTTTCGCCAATTCTTTACCCATTTTAAAACAAGTCACATTTTTGGAAACCCTGAATCTTTCCCGAGACAATAGCTATCTCACATTTTTCAATTTCGAACATTCATCTATGGCTTTTGTCGTTCGAAATTTGAAAATTTAAATTTTTACAAAAAACTTTTTTATTTATGAATATTTTTTGTCTCAGTAATTGTCTAATTCAGTTTTTCAGTCCTAGATTAATTATTTATTGCTCGATTTGTATAAAACAAAGTTCATATACTTCGTTGTCTCAATTGTCATTTTTTTTGTTACCGATAGAGTTATCTGTCAGCACCGGAAGTGGCTTAATTTTTACCAAAAACTACAATTTTGACAGTTAAGTACCATTTTTCGAAAGCAAATATTATTTTTAAAAAAAACTGATATAACTAAAAGAGTGTGCCCTTTAAAGGCACACAAAATGTTGGGCTCAGTTTTTTATACGCCCACATTTTCATGTGGACGTATATTGTCGTCGCCCCCGTCCGTCCGTCAACAATTGTTTGTGAACAGTCTACAGGTCACAATTTTTATCCGATATCAATGAAACTTTAATTAATAGGTTTATCACCCTAAGATCTCGGTTCCTTTCGATATTGGCATTTATCGACCGTAACTTCATGCATTATGGCCCCTGATTGTACGAAAAATCACGTTTTTGGCTTGTGAACACTGTAGAGGTCACAATTTTTATCCGATTTTGTTGAAACTTGAAATGTAAGTTTATAACCCAAAGATCTTGGTTCCTTTCGATATTCGCGCATATCGGACCGTAACTTCCTGAATTATTGCCCCTGATTGTACGAAAAATCACGTTTTTAGCTTGTGGACCCTATAGAGGTCATAATTATTATCCGATTTAAAAAATCATATTATTATATCACCGTTACACCCTAAGGATGACTGAGTTCGAATTTCGTGAAATTCGGCCAAAAACTGACTGATAAAATGGCCGCCCTTCGTTCTCAAATAGCGTAAAAATATGGTATATCAGAGGTGACAATTTTTATCCGATTTTGTTGAAACTTGAAATATAAGTTTATAACCCAAAGATCTTGGTTTCTTTCGATATTCGCGCATGTCGGACCGTAACTAACTGAATTATGGCCCCTGATTGTACGAAAAATCGCGTTTTTAGCTTGTGGACCCTATAAAGGTCATAATTTTTATCCGATTTAAAAAAACGTATTATTATATCACCGTTACACCCTAAGGATGACTGAGTTCGAATTTCGTGAAAATCGGCCCAAAACTGACAGACAAAATGGCCGCCTCTCGTTCTCAAATTGTGGACCCTATAAAGGTCACAATTTTTATCCGATTTTGCTGAAACTTGAAATGTAAGTTTATAACTCAAAGATCGGTTCCTTTCGATATTTGCGCATATAGAATTGTAATTTCCTGAATTATGGCCCTTGATTGTAGGAAAAATCACTTTCGTTTTAGCTTGTTTTCTATCCATCTCTCGAAAATGTGGGCGTATCCTGCCTGGCAGCCGCTGGTTTAATTTCGATTTCATTTTCGAGCAAATTCGATTAAGAGGTGAATAAAGGTGTAAAATTGACCTATTTACGACCCATTCAGGCTTTTCAGATTTTAAAATATTTCTACGTAACATTTATAAACTTGTAGCTATAATCCATACAAAGAAAATGTATGTTAAAATTAGTTTGTAATATAAGCAGTTACCTAGAAATGGGCAATTTTGTATAAGTCACTGTTTTCGTTATTTTGACTGTAAAATAGTCAATTATTATTGGATTTTCAGAAAAGTGACTCCATTTGATTCAAAAAGCAAGTATGCGTCATATCAAATTGATTACAATTTAAAATTGACACCGGAAGTGACGCCATTTTGTCAAAAAATGCATTTTTAACTTTTAAAATCAATATTTTTTTCAACCAAGAATTATTTAATATGTATTAATAATTTGAACTTTTGGTTTACATTCACATATTAATAAAATTCATACGGTCATATAGATTTCACAAAATTGTTTCTAACTTGTTCAGTTGTGGAGAAATAGGCGATTTTCAACAGGTTGCTTTTCAAGGTTTTTGGTCCATAAAAGTGTCAATTATTATTCGATTTTCATAAAATTTTCACTGTGTGATACCTAATGCCATTTACAATTTCATACAAGTAATTTAAGATTTTCATTATCACCGGAAGTAACGTCATTTTGGCAAAAACTATATTTTTAGCCTTCAAAACCGATATTTTATTCAAATGAGTCTGATTTGTAATGTTTTTAAAATTATGATATTTGATTCCAATCAACAAATAGCCCGCAAAATGGACGATTTTATGGCATCCAAATGGTACAAATTCGCTGGTTAGGCAATATATACTGAGCGCCATGGAAAACGCATCACTTTTTTTCCCAAATATTTTATTACTGGGTGGTTTTGTATGTATAATATTATGCAATACTATGAACTATTGTTTCACACAATGCTCCCAAACGCAAAAAATATCGGCCCGTGTGCACAAAAAAAAATTGCATGAGATGCACATGAAAAACCCAATATTCACGTGCAGCATTGTGTGTGAGCCCTTTAAAAGAATGTTTTCAACTTAATGTGCAGTACATGAACTGTGAAACGTCAATCTGTCGTAATTTGTTGTTGGACGTGTGAAGGAATCGAGCTAGAGATGCCGAGACTTACTGAAAATCAACGGAATGAAGCCATGGGAATGTCCCGGGCTGGCATGTCTACTCATGCTATTGCCAGACACTTCAATTGTCATCAGTCCACTATTGTGACCGTCAATGTCTTGGTCCACAACGCGTTACAACCCAGGCTCAAGACCGCTACATCCGGATCACTCATCTGCGTGACAGATTCCGCCCAGCGACTCGAACAGGTGCAGCAGTCATCGGAAGATAAGGAACAGTAAGTGCCAACACCGTAAGACGGCGTCTAAGAGAAGTAGGACTCCGTACTCGACGACCTTATGTTGGAGCTATCCTCAGGGATCATCACCGTCAGCGGCATTTGATATGGGCTCAAGGACACCAGACATGGAGAAGAGGAGACTGGCAAAGTGTGCTCTTCAGTGATGAGAGTCGCTTTCATCTTTATCACGCTGATGGCCGTCAACGTGTGTGGAGACGTCTTGGGGAACGTCTTGCAGACTGCTGCGTCTTCGAAACGAATCGATGGGGTGGGGGAAGTGTAATGGTGTGGGGAGGCTTCATATTTCTTCACCGGACCGCCCTACACATATGCAGGGGACGCGTTAATGCTGTAGCCTACCGTGATGATGTCTTGCAACCAATTGTTGTTCCAAGAATGAAACAATTTGCCCCAGGCCTTCTTTCAAACATTGGTTAATTCCATGCGACGTCGCTGCACAGCGTGCTCAAGAGCTCGTGGAGGACACACACGCTACTGACATCTGTGTCGTACTTTTGGTTTTGACCCCTCTGACTTTGTACCGTTGATTACAGATTAAACATCCATAAGTGTACAAATGTGAGGTTATTGATGTGTTCCGATTTGAATATTGTTCACAATAAGAAGCAAAATAAATAAGATATGTTTACACGATCATTTTGTTATACGAAAAACTAAGTGATGCATTTTCCATGGCGCTCAGTATATTATGGGACGCTGAAAATCTAGTATTTTCCTTTTTGGAGCCTATTCAGACACTTTTATCACGAAAACTACTATAAATTTGTTTTTTAAACTTCGGTTACTTTTGTCCTAACGATGGTTTAGGGTCTGAATGCAAATCTAAAAGGGTCAATATAGTATAAAAGGGCCGCAATCTTTGAAAAAAGTCGAAAAATCGCTATATGATTAAAAACGCTTCTAACAGTATAAGGGAGGTAACTACTCCTAACAAGATGGGCTCAGACCAGCAATTATTTGCTAAATATTGTTAAATATCCGATATTTTAAAGGGGCGGTTCGT